AAATCAGTTATTTTTAAAACTTCAATAAGAATTAGATAGATCCATCGGCTATTGCATTTGGTTATGGGCCCAGAAGAGGTATTGTGAATATCGTATCGAGAGTTTTTCGGTTGTATAGGGGGCTACAGAAAAACAACGATTGGTTTATTGATGGCGGAGATTTTCAGGGAGTAAAATCTCCATAAATAAGAAAGTTGACATTTCGCAGTTTGCGCATGCGCTAATCTGATTTTTACAATATGCGATATGCTTGCCTTTACCAGAAGCAGTTCCAAATCAGCTCATCCTAAAATTATTTCTTGATTCCTCACCTGACTGTAACTAAAAGCGAAATCCCGCGAATTGAAGTAAGCCTCAAAAAGATATTGTGTGCGTGAATAAGTGAATTAATTATTCAATCAATCTCTAACTGTTGCTTATGTAAGTAGGTACACCAACGCAAACATATAAAAGCCATAACGTACGTTTTACAATAAAAAAAATCCCTGTTACATCCAAACGGTTTGTATATAATAAAGTACAATGTCCTCTGGAATATGTATCCTTATAACGTATGCAAGCTCACACAATAGTTTTTGTTTATTTTCCCATTCACAAGGAAATGGAATAATTAACTTGTCTGTGAAGGTGTCTGGTACGTTTGTATTGTATGTCAGCTGACTTACTTAGATTCAAGTGGGTTACACTATTGAATATTAATTAATAGATACACGTGGCTTTACTTCCTTCCTTGGCTGATGGACTGGTTTTATGTTTGTAGGTAGGTATTCTATATGACCAATATCAAGATTCTTTATTACCCATCTTGATCAATTGAAAATACTAATCATGAGAGTAGGTGTTTGTTACAAATCAGGTTTTTGTGATGCTCATGCCCTGGGGGTGATTTTTTTTGTTTGTACACGCCGAAATCTATCAGAGAAAGTCAAATCGATCTACGACAGTTTCTTCGCTCAATTTCAGAGTCTTTGCTTTTTACGAATCGGTTTTTTCGGTGGTCAGTGCAGATAGAAATCGAAGAGTAAATGTCTTCATCCGCTGGAGCTACGACAACTTTTTTGCCCGATTCTAGAGGCACACCTTATAGACATTGCTTTATAAAAAAACGGAGTTGATGTTCTATATCAACAAGCCAGCATTAGAAACGAAGGGTTTTTCTGTTCGATTTGATACCATTTTTTCGCTTAATTTTAGTGATGTCGATAGATAAGATACTCCGGCCTTTTCATTTCTTTGCGACTAACTCCTCGAATTTCAGTTACTTATAAATTTGCCCCCTCAGACAATTGTAACATTTCTAATGGCAACTCTTGACTAATATCAGTAGAAACTTCCTTCTGGATTGGAACTTACTCAGCAAACATGCACTTTTTAAATAGGTATTTTAAATATACGATTCAAATAAAATAAGATTACGTTACCTCAATTGTAGCCATCCGTTGTTTCTCTCAGGGTGCAAATTGGTACGGTCCTTCTCTAAAAGATGATGCCTCAACGCAAACGAAAATTGGATCTCCTGGAGGATTATTGATGAAGTTTTCCGGATATTATCCGTTTCATTGAAATGATCGAGCAGCGAACTTTCTATTTATATTGTCTGCATTCAACTCTCGAAATATCAGTGACTAAAAGGGTAAATAAGTTCACACTTAATGTTCGCTTTGGGATTTGAATTTTTATTCATCGTAACATCACTCTAACTTTGATTTATTCGCCGGAAAAGTTCACTGGTATTATTGTTATAATTTTTAGCTATAGTTCTCAATACGAATTTGCACGTTCGCTTATTTGACGAAGAAAATGTATGACATGACTTTTTGCTCACACATTAGCAAAATTGACAGGTTTTTCCAAACTGCATCGCTTTCTTATCAATGACGAGGTGCGATTCAGCCGTAGGTACTGCACCTTATTTATCATGAACTTGAGCGTATAGCACCCCTAATTGGCGTTGATAAATTTCTATGACGCAAATAAAAAAATCTAATGACGCATACTGCAACCTTCGACTTTACAGAGAAAAACAAACGATTAATTCATTTGGAAATTATTGACTATAAAGTGAAACCTACCGTTACAAAACGCAGTATAACATCCACCATTAACTTTGCACAATTGCAGCGGTTCCTTTTATCACAGATTTAAATATTAAATCTGTGCTTTTATTAACATGTAAATTGTAATGTTGTGTAACATCTAAGTGCATGAGATAAGGTAGGTAATTTATTAGCAACATTTCACGTCTATCTAGAAAACATATACCACCGACGGAAGGACGGAGTTATGCTATATTTGTTGAGGATAATTTGATAATTGTTGCATTGTGATCTATTAGAAAACGTATTTTCGAGTCGATCTGCGTCCGTTTTCCTTTGGTCGGTTTGTGGCGACAATTTTCCTAGTAAATTTCAACATTTAAAGAAAATGTCGCGAAACACAATGTTACCTAAAGACAGTTTCGTGCAATAGGTAGTGGGACGTCCAGTGAGTGTCACTGATTTAACGCAAAATTAACCAGTTCTGTTATGGGCACTGAATCTGAAGCTGGCCCTGCCATTCCCTTTAAATCCATTCAGGTTTATCAAAGAACTCTATTTTATGAATTAAAATGTGATCATAAATTGATTGTAGAGAAGAGTTGAAATGATCCATAGACATTTGTAGGGGATGGTGGTTAATTTTGATTCTTATATTTAATCTTTACTTGTGTACTTGAAGGGTGTAATAAATAATTGTAAACAGCCAGTGATGTCTCCGTGATTACTTTTGCCATAAAAATTCCCCAGAGGTTTCAATGCAATTAGAAGCCTAATAGGTATATAACGAACCCTACTGACGTTTATCCTCTATGAGTATTGATTGAAACCTTGACTCTTTTTATAAATAATTACCAAACACATTGATTTCTACACTCTATATTTGCCTTGCACAGCGCTCGGAATAGAAATTTTCGTGAACCAGAAGTAACGGCCCATCAGCTCGTGTAACACACATTAAAAAAACGATAAAATGTAACAAGAATTAAATGTTTCACTTTGAATTTTATTTTGGAAAGGGTTTATTCGCCCCAAGTTTCTTCTCCGGCTCTGGTACCTGCTCCCATAACATACTTTTACCCTTATACTTGGGTTCCGATGTAGGTATATGTAAAGCCGTAAAGAAAAATTTTCTAAATTTAATCATCTTGGAAGAATAAAACTGATAGATTAAAATTCCAGTTCCGCTTTGTGCATGGTTCCCTTTTGTGTATAGAGACAAGTTCTGGGTTCCGTGTGCTGGTATGATCTGGAGGACGTATAATCGTTTCCAGATGTGATTTTGGAAAAATAAGTCGCCAATATGTAGTATTCTGTGAAATTTGTGTGCGGGCGAAACGGAATGATATTGTAATATTTTTTACCAACCGGAACGGCTGTTCCGGTCCATTCCGAGCCCTGGCCTTGTATTTATTATTTAGACACGGGTTTAATTGAAATTATGTTGCAGTGAACCGGACCATGCTTTGCACGCCTTGGGAGAGCTGCAAGAAATGGCACAACCCGTGTATATATCGCTAATGGAGATGTTGACATTGATGTCCCAATGTGACCAAGTGGATCGAAAATCTCACATCAGTGCGACATCGCTCCATCATCAAACCGCTCCCATGGAAAATAGGGGGATCTTATCCAACAACCCCCTAACCTTATTCAGCGGAATTATACCAGGTTGAATTTCTTAGTCAGTAAACCAAGTACGATATTATTGTTGTAGGTACAAAGTGGTGCGGTACGGGTGACATAGCAAACGATTATTTCGATCTAGGAGCTGAGCCCAATGTCGATAGGTGTTGTCGCGCGCACGATCTATGCCCAGTGAAAGTGAGGGCGTATTCCCAACGCTACAACTTGACTAACAATTCGCTTTATACCAAGTCGCACTGTGTATGCGACGACGATCTTTTCGACTGCCTAAAATCGTCCGATTCGCCAACCGCTCACATTATGGGAAACGTATATTTTAATTTAGTTCAAGTGCCTTGCGTCGAAGATAGGGAGAACAGAAGAAAATTTAGGAAAGCGAAGAACAGCTTTTAATATTGTAATTTAGCGTAGACAATTTCCCAATAAATTATTTCTTCTGGGTAGTTAGTGTTACGGAACTGGCAATTTGCTCATTATAGTTAAAAAATAAAATGTCACACAGCCTGTTGTTGTTCTCTTATACCGTGGTAGGTATTTTCCAAAAGCGTTGTAGTTCATTTTGCTAACTTTCGATGGATTTATGACAGTGTGGCGATTTTCTTGTGTGTCTTTTTATTTCTTAACATCTTTGGTTGGTTTTATTTCCAGGGTCTACAAGCTCTAGGAAATGCATATTGTGAAGTTGTAATTTTTAGGGTAGATGTAATATTATTGTTCCCTTGTGTGAATTTGTTTACGGGCCCACAAACTACCCTTTACATGCACATAAAGGTGGACCCTTTCCTATCAGTTCCAAGAATTACAATTTATTTAAGGAAACCAATTTTTACATAGTTTTTGTGGCAAAGTGAATATTTTTGGATCTTTGTTTTCATGATGAGATAGATGGGGACCGCTATTACGTTTTAATTAAAATTTGCATTCGTGACTAATATTATTGTAGCTTACTGTACATATTGATTGATAATGATAGCTAACTTCACACCAGAGAAAACAAAAAGTAATTTTCTAACCTCACAAAATTTGTGAAATGGAAGTGTAAGTTTTAAACATTTGTATAGGACTATTTGTATTGTTTATTTTCAGTATAAACTCAAACTCCGCTCAGTTAAGCAACTATGAAGTCTTAAAACATTTACAACAGCTAAAAGATGGCAGGAAAAAAGATAAACGGCAAGGACAGTTAGCCACAATCACTTACGAGACTCTCAGATATTTGGAGAATACACCTTGCAATCAACAAACACCGGAAACTATAACAGCATGTCTCAAGGCATTAGAGCCATTTAATCTTAGTAAAAATGAAAAACTAATGATCATTAATTCGCCTCCAACTACAGCCCTCGAAATTCAGTTGGTAAGTGCTACGATTAGTTCAACTAAACTTACCAAATAGGTTTAGATGATTGAAGAGAGCGAAGAAAGACTCACCGAGGAACAAGTCAATGAAATTTTAAAAATCGTGGTGCTACACTTTCCACATGTGCAAAAGGTAGAAGAAAATGAAGATGAAACTGAAGAAGCTTAAATTAGGAAAATCATTTATTTTGCAATAAAAACATAATTATCAAAGAAATAGCTACATAAACTCAACACAACATTAATTTATCGCTTTTGGTCTCCTAAATCTTCGATAAAATCTTCATCAATCTAAAATAACACAGTGAGAAACGATGCACATCACTCATCATCTTACCTCTGGCCACTTTTCAGGAATAACATCGAATAAGTCATCTTTAACATCTCCCTGTATTACTATTTCGTCATCACCTGTAACCGATGAACCGCATGCAAACTTAGTACCGAAAAACTTGGCTGCGACCTTTAGATCAATACCTACGAAATCAATGTGTGAAATACAGGTAGGGTTTGTGGGTGGTACATACCAAAACTACTCATACCAGTTACAACGGTAACAGACTTCTTCTTACCACGAGGTGCTCTCGAAACGCAAACTTGTTTAGGACCATCATCCTTTTTCTTCGTTTTCATCATACCCTTGCCACCGCGTTTTTGCCTCTTCTTCTCTTCGTCCCCGCCACCTTCGGTCGTGTCATCGTTCACCTTAATTTTTTCGAACTCTGACGGTAAATTACGTTCCAGCCATTGTTTGCACTTCTCATATTCGGGATAATACTCGCAATACTAATGAAATGAATACCTTTTAGTGACGAAAAAATGGAAAGATTATTCAAACTAACCTCAATTGGCATACTACAATTTCCGCAATATAAAACGTCTAGAGGGTAATTTACCCCGGGTTTCGGGCCCATTGCTAACCTACTGGTTTCGGTCATCGTTGAGTATTGGAAAACACTAAAACAGCCCCTTTTTTAACGTCCGGTATTTATTCTAACCTCTACCCCTTTGGTTTGACAGTTTTGATGGGTTACGGTTGGTAACTATTCTATTGCTATTTGTGTTGGTAGCATTGGGTATTTACATTTCTTCGGTTGGCAGTAATTTTTGTTACACTTTCAAATTTCAAATAAATTTAAAAATGTCTAATAACAAAATGAGAAATAGACTAAACTTACGGAATCATGATGGTATTACCAGTAAGCATTGCTCTTTCTTCGGCATAATTATTCTTTTCAGAACAGTCCACGTCGACTACCTCTCTAACCCAGGACGTCTTTGCCATGGGCAATTTAGACATCTCCGACTTTATTCCTACCCCAAAGGAAAATCTTCGGGAGTTATGCGCATGGGATTTTAATATTAAAAATGTTTTGAAACACTTTTTAACTGTGCGAAACGTACTAGGGATTGCGGTTGTTTTTATTTCGGGTAACTATTTTGTTATAGGCCCCCATTATTTCAGAAAGGCAACCGTAAACAGTTCTGTGTAGATACCTACCTTCCAAAGAAGCACTGTGTGTAGTGGTAGTCGATGAGCTGCTAGCCAATTGTCAATCAAAATTACAAGATGAGATTGCCGCAATAAGGTAATAATAGAGAACAGAATGCCCAACTTCAGATTTTGACCCCAACTCCCCACTTAACACAACATCATATTCTCGATAACACTCGACTTGATCACACAAAACTTTTTAGGCCCTCCATTTGAAATATGTCGAGTTGGGCATTATGGTCAGATCTCTAAAAATCATGTAGGTACCTATAACGTTAGTTGTTGTAGGAATCAAATGAATGATATAAGTACCAATCCCTTATTTCTAAATTTAATCGATGAGAAAATACAAGCAGCTGTACATCTTTACGATACTGACAAAATTGGATTGATAGGTAGGTAAGTTAACTAACACGAGAACGATCATAAATATCAAATGTAGATTATGCAATGGAATCGTCGGGAGCGCGAATCATCTCCATGCCTGGTACACAGGCGTTTAATCACGCGTTTAATCTTGCGGATATGTTCTCAACAGTTCCGACTGATGCCAGTAAGATATTGCAACCGGGAACGTTGCCGGGGCAATGTTTCTCGTTTAGGGGTAGTACGGGCAGGATTCGGATCAGTTTGGCATGTCCGGTGTATGTGACCGCGTTTACTTTGGAACATGTACATAAGAGTCTAGCACAAAATCGAACAAGTGCGCCAAAGGAGTTTCAAGTTTATGTAAATATGTTTCGTATTGGTATTGCTGGTTTCTGATATAGATTTTAGGGATTGGATGGTGAAGAAGCTACCGACGGGTTTAGTTTCGGGGTATTTAAGTACAACCTGGAGGGAAACGCTCTGCAGATGTTTAAAGTACAAAATCAAAGTTCAGTACTATACAAGCACCTGGAATTACATGTTTTGAGCAACTATGGGAATCCTACCTACACATGCATTTATAGGTTCCGAGTGCACGGCAAGGAATAATTGTCTATGTAAATAGTGTTACACAGAAATAAATATTTTTGTACCTGTTGTACGTTCAAACTTTATTCTCACTCTCCTAAAGGGATCTGTGATCTTTGAAAAAGTCCAAAATTATCCTGAAACATATTCCTGGGTGCATCTTCCTTTTCCTCAGAAACGGCCTTGAAGTATTATACGTCTCTCAATACAGTATATAAACTGATTACCTGTGTTAGGTGGATATTTTCATTTCATGCGAAGGAAGAGGAGTTTCGCAGTGGGCGGCTACCTGCGACTATTTTTATACTGAAAGAGTTAGACTATTTTATCTAAAAATACTAATAGGCAGAGCTGGGCAGTATTCGATTTTGTAAATACTTTTTAGTACCTACTCAAATCCTTTAAAGTATTCAAATACTTTGTAATTAAATACTTTTATGGAAGCAGTATTTGTATTTGTAACTCAAATACTTTCACAAATATTGAGTCAATTTTGAAAGAAAATTCAAAGAGTTGTAACTTTTGAACTAGTAGCCCAATCTTGGAACTGTTTGAAATTATGGATTCTACAGGCCACATTCTATAAGAAAATGTTTTTTCCGGGTCGATCTGAGACAATTTTTTCTGCGGGCCTCAAAAAAAGGCAGTGCACAACCTTCCTTTTTTACCAAAAATCGACTGCACCAAAATTTCTCGGGAAAACACTTTTTCTTATTAATTTTGGTGCGTAGAATCCAAAACAATTCGTACTTTTTCGATCAGACTTCTCAATCAAAAGTTATAGACTAGAAACCAATTTCGAAAGAAAATTCAAAGGGCTGTAACTTTTGAACTAGTAGCCCAATCTTGGAACTGTTTGAAATTATGGATTCTACAGGCCACATTCTATAAGAAAATGTTTTTCCGGGTCGATCTGAGACAATTTTTTTTTCGGGGCTCAAAAAAAGGCAGTGTATAACCTTCCTTTTTTACCAAAAATCGACTACACCAAAATTTCTCGGGAAAACACTTTTTCGTATTAATTTTGGTGCGTAGAAACCAAAACAATTCGTACTTTTTTGATTAGACTTCTCAATCAAAAGTTATACACTAGAAACCAATTTCGAAAGAAAATTCAAAGGGCTGTAACTTCTGAACTAGTAGCCCAATCTTGGAACTGTTTGAAATTATGGATTCTACAGGCCACATTCTATAAGAAAATGTTTTTTCTCGGTCGATCTGACACAATTTTTCTTTCGGGGCAAAAAAAAGGCAGTGTATAACCTTCCTTTTTTACCAAAAATCGACTACACCAAAATTTCTCGGGAAAACACTTTTTCGTATTAATTTTGGTGCGTAGAATCCAAAACAATTCGTATTTTTTCGATTAGACTTCTCAATCAAAAGTTATAGACTAGAAACCAATTTCGAAAGAAAATTCAAAAGGCTGTAACTTTCGAACTAGTAGCCCAAACTTGGAACTGTTTGAAATTATGGATTCTACACGCCACATTCTATAAGAAAATGTTTTTTCCCGATCGATCTGAGTCAATTTTTTTTCGGGGCAAAAAAAGGCAGTGTATAACCTTCCTTTTTTACCAAAAATCGACTACACCAAAATGTCTCGGGAAAACACTTTTTCGTATTAATTTTGGTGCGTAGAATCCAAAAGAATTCGTACTTTTTCGATTAGACTTCTCAATCAAAAGTTATAGACTAGAAACCAATTTGGAAAGAAAATTCAAAAGGCTGTAACTTTTGAACTAGTAGCCCAATCTTGGAACTGTTTGAAATTATGGATTCTACAGGCCACATTCTATAAGAAAATGTTTTTTCCCGGTTGATCTGAGACATTTTTTTTGTCGGGGCAAAAAAAAGGAAGGTTATATATAACCTTCCTTTTTTATCAAAAATCGACTGCACCAAAATTTCTCGGGAAAACACTTTTTCGTATTAATTTTGGTGCGTAGAAACCAAAACAATTCGTACTTTTTTGATTAGACTTCTCAATCAAAAGTTATACACTAGAAACCAATTTCGAAAGAAAATTCAAAAGGCTGTAACTTTTGAACTAGTAGCCCAATCTTCTTGGAACTGTTTGAAATTATGGATTCTACAGGCCACATTCTATAAGAAAATGTTTTTTCCCGGTCGATCTGAGAGTTCCATTCCATGGGTATTTCTTTTCCATTTGCAAATTTCAACTGGATGCTCCACATTATTCGAATTAATTTGTTTCTACCGCATTTTATTAATTCCGGTTCAATACCGCCCGGTCCTGCTGCTTAACCATTTTTGATTGTTTTCGCTGCCTTCTTCCATTGGTATTTCAATAACAGCTTCTTCTGTCCCTCCCTCTCCTGGATTATTGTCCTCTTCCGTTTCTATGAAGCCTTTCTTCCGTCAATAGTTCCTTATAATAATTTTGCCATTCTTCATCTCTGATGTATGTTATTAAGCTGTTCTCTTCTACTCAAGTCCATCGCTTTTATTGTTCTCCACGACCCCGAGTTCCAAAGTTCCATGTGCCTCCTATATTCTGTTCTATATCCTTGCATGCTCCATTCCACTGTTCATTTTTTGACATTATTACTAATCTTTTTACTTTTCTACTTTCTTCTCCATAATTTTGTAGGTCGGCCGCTGTTTTTGCACTGACCCATTTTTCGTACAATTTTTTCTTTTCTTTAATAGCTTGCATTTTTGGTTCAATTTCGATTCATATTTCTTTTCATATCTTTCCCTTTCTCCCACTTTTGTTCATATTATGTTCCAACTTCTTATACCTATTTTGGTACAGTTTTAATGATATAATCTATAATTGATTTTAATCTCCTTGTTTCCTGGGTCCATAGTACTGATATGTACTTCTGACAAAACTGTAGTCATTCAGGAATTTCAGTGGGACATCCTGTATATGATGTTGTATTGATAAAATCTCTCATTACGTTAACATGTATGGTTTTTAAGTGCGTGTGACAAAGAAAGCAACTAAAATAGTGTTGTATTAGTCTACCTTCATCTGATAATAATTCAATGACGTTTTACACTGCATAAAAGGATGTGTAAAGTACCATCGACCTTTTGTCCACAATCGAGCGAATAAAGTTTATGGCGAAGACGTATAATTAATTAACTTTGAACGGCCTTACGAAAAGTACTAACTTGTTTAAAAGTGGTCGCCTAGTACAATAAAAAAATGTTAAATATGCCTTTACGGAACTATTTACAACCTAATTAATAGCAAAATTAACACCTATATTGTTAACTAGAGATAAAAGTATTTGACACTTTTTATTGCTATCGCGTATATCATTAAACTTTTTTAATTAAAGTATCCGAAAGTTTTTTGAATTTTTAACAGCGGCACCGTCTGTATATAGTTCTCGTTTTAAAGGTAGCTCTGAAAGCAATAAAACGAAACTGTTGTAAATTTTATCTAAACTATGTAGTACAGCAAAATCGGAAGGCACATATCGTTATATTTATTGTGCGCAATCAAATATCACTTCAAAGAGATGTTTTACAACGGCGGCATTTATAAACTTCATTTGCAAATGAATTCTTGTTATTGTTTTTAAAGTATTTTTCCTGTTCATAAACTTCCACATTTCTGTACCAATAAAACTACCGAAACTGTCACACAGTAGCTGGAATAAGTTATGTATATTTAAAAAACCATATCCTACTACGATTCTAATGGTCTACTTAAAAACACCACCCTGTATACAAAAATCGAAACGTCCTCACGTCACTCAACGGAAGCTGCTTCCATTGCCAGTAATTTCAGTCTGAAATTGTTTATAATCAAGTAGTCTTTTTACTGGTGTTAATAATTGCACTAGACGTAGATAATTTTTACGTTTGCTAGAAAATAATATTATGACCTGACGAGGGCATGACGTGCATGAATCTATTAAACACGATCTAGGTTGTCAGTTTAAAGCCACGGGAAGGTTTAATTCTTATAGAAAAAGTTAACTTGTATTCACTTTATGGTCTATTATTTATGCAAGTATTAATTCATAATTGCCTTATTGATTAATGTGATTTTCAATTAACCAATAATGTTCTAGGTATTACTCACTTTTATTACATATAATTGATCTACGTTTAACAGAAATACAGACTAGTTTAGACATGGAATAGCACACGAATCTTTAGCGCATTTTTCAAAACGAAAATAAACGCACTTTCCCTGTCCGTCTGTACCATTACTAGTCCTCCAGTTTACGCTTTTCCGTTGTGGTTTCCACGTCTATACTAGTTTTCTGTTTCTTCGTTTCGATTGGATTGTTTTCCATTTGTGTATGGCTTCAAATACCTACCTTTGTCGCACTTGAGTGGTAGTAGGATATCAAATGAAATAAAACTGGAATAAAAGGAAACACGTGTTTTCTCCATATATTTAAACATTTAGAAATATTTTTTTCTTGTAATAATTATAATTTTTTCTAAATAAAAGACGTTTTTAACACTACTTTACAGAATTAGGTACAACTTCTTTCTGACATACTGACATCCATCATCGATATTTAACTATATAAGATATTATACAGAAATAAAAACCTTATTCAACAAACGAAACAACTTCGGTTTTCTTTCTTCTCGTAAAGCTAAAGATCCTTCCGTATACCCAAACACTCTCGCTTCTACATATTTTACATTATAAACAAAACCGTACTAACATTCATAAATAATAAAGGAAAACACGGGATGAAATTAAAATACACCGTTAGTACGAATCACTAGCTATATTTTTTTTACAAAAAGAAATCTAGGACCTGCTTTAACAACTTAAATTTTATTGCACCAAATTTGATAATTCCAAGGCTCATGCGCTAACTTAACAAAATGCCACCGTAAAATCACCTGTTCAAGTTGGAAGATCAATTTAAAGGATGTGAGATGAAACTAACCAAATTCAATGGATAGCGTGTAAGGACTTTGGAAGATTACAGAGGCGTTTTGATAAATTAGCACGTGATTTGCACTGAGATCTACTTCACTAGGTACGGTACAGTTTTATGGGAACATAATTTACAATATTGTAAAACCATTCAAACCACAAACAAAGGTAAAGAGCCGAAAAAAACCACGTACACATGATGTATTATTTTATCGTAGCACTCTGTATAATGTACAAGTCACTGGTCATTGTTGGTCACTTGTTCTTAATTATAAATAATTACAATTAGTAACTAATCACTTCTTTTATTATTAAACAGCTGGCCATACGCTGAAACAAAAGAATCTATGAGAACTTGAATAGAACAATGTATTATTAAGAGACAACGAGATAAATAATAAACTAAACAAATAGAGAAAACGAACTCCTGGGTATGGCTATAGCATGTGCAAAACCAAAATTTAAACCTGATGTTAGTTTTGCTTTTATTTAAAGTGTATATGTATGAAATTTCATTTAATTGCTTCCATAAATAAGAACCGCACCATGATTAAATTACAGTATTCGTAAAAGGAACAAATGGCATACATCCCCCTTACCCTAAGGACAAACCACACGAGACATTAGCTAGGACAAGAACCCATTTTACCAAATTTTGAAACTGGCGCTACATTTGCTTTTATTCCAAGTGGCTATGTATCAAATTTCATTTAAATACTTTTATAAAGTTTGAAATTCGGTTTATAAATGGTCGAGATGCGAAAAGGGCACTGTGAATGTTGATCGATTAGGGTCAATTTTTGGAATTGCGTTTTATATGGCTAAAGCTATACGCATATTGAATTTCATACAATTCGGTTCATAACTCACGGAGATGGCAAAAGGGCATTCGTTATTTTTTGGACTACATTGCCACTTCACGAACTCCGATCTACAAATTTGATAAAGAATCCATCTACTAAATTTTATCGTAATCGGTCCATTCGTTATCGAGATATCGGACGGACAGACGAACTTCAAAATTAAAAAGTCGCTAGGAGCTCGTTAATAAGCTTCTGCTATATCGTCGCTTAAAAGTAACTCAAATGATATTGGTGCCAAAGTTGCCGAAATTGAAAGCCGTCATTATCACAAAAAAGTTTCATGGAAAGCTCTGCTGTAAGGATAAGGGGATCAAAATTGAATGAATGTTTTTCAATGTACTAAAATTGTCCATCTCTGATGGTAACGCAAATAAAAGCCGCGTATCTGAGTAGGGAATGGAATAGGCATTCCGCTGCTACACAATTTGAATGGTGGAGATCTTGATCTATCGTGCTGGGTGGCCACACTACTTAAGGGTGGTTAATTGAATTTTGCCCCCTTTCAATACAACTTTCCTGGGTTTCCCAAAACTGGTTCAACAAGGGGCGCAACGTTTATTAAGCGGCAAAGCACAGCGATGCAAGCTTTTGGATGATGTCCGTCTGTCCGTGAATACGATAACTGCCAAACGCTTGGACCGATTTGGTTCAAACTTTGCACAGTTGACCTATAAGCCTATTGAAAATGGGTCAAATCCAATGGCCCCTTGGGGTCACGCCTCTCTGTCTCTGCCAAACGCTTGAACCTATTCGGTTCAAACTTTGCACAGTTAACATATATACCACATGTAACAAGACAATTGAAAATGGGTCAAAGATAATGTGTTCACGGACAGACGGACAGACGGACAAACGGACACCATCGGCTCCCCTCTGCCGCTTAATAAATGTTGACCACAGACCACAGCGAGCCGCGACATGATACGAGTGAGGAGGAATCGTTATTACTCCGTCATCGGACCGTTGTCCTGGAGTTGCAAGGGGACGTGCTGTGAACAATCCCTGAACCACAGCAGGATGTTTGCCACGGTTGGAAATACGTCACGGTGAGAAGCATCTCCAACAGGTATATTACGCGTAACTGATGGAACTCCTGCAGAAGTATGGAGAAAGCTTGCAGGATATCGCCAGATTGATCTGTCTATCCTATCCAGAAAGCTTCTTAGACCAACTTCATCGATGCTGTAAGAGACAGTGATGTCCAGCAAACATTAAGGTTAGCAAGGGTAGATAGAGATAGCCCTTGCTCGCGCGTTGGAATTCGATGCACAAAGGCAAGAGAAGAAGAATCCATTGAACTGGTTCGGAAATTATTAGAAATGATAGGCGTTTATCCGACAAGGAGAAATTACATTGCTGGACATGTGGCAAGGCTCGACATCTTAGAAGAAATTGCTCCCAGCCTGCAGAGGCCAGTGGCAGCAACCAGAGAAGGAACTCAGTGATCATTTCCCGCGTACTACCATTCGAGTTGCTCTTATAGGAAACAGTTGTTCATTGTTGGTGAACACTGGTGCAACAAGAGCAATAGTGCGGCCCCACCTTGTGAAGAATAAGAAACTGATGCCATCCGTCCTTAGACTCAAGACTGCAACTGCTGATCGTGTAACTGTTCTTTGTAGTGGACTTAGTATTGGGTTCAATACCCCTAAGCATCTAGTGTAGGTGGCTGATATCGCGGCACAAAAGCTGATTCACAGCTATCAAGTGTATTTTCCTCACAAAAAGGGCTAATGGATAAAACTAAAATCTTGACCCATAAGATTAACACTGGAACTGCACAACCGATTAACCAACATCCGAGAAAACCATGGAAAGAAGCTCAGAAGATTATAGAGGATATGGCGCAACAAGGCCGTCTACTAGTCCGTGGACGTCACCTGTGGTGTTGGTGAAAAAGTAAGATAGGTCCACAGGATTTTGCGTAAACTATCGACAATTGAGTAGCGTTACCAAAAAGGACGCTTACCCATTACCAAGAATCAATGACACTTTGGATACTCTTACCACAACTAAATGGTTTCCAATGTTGGATATGAAAAGACTGCGTTCGGCGTTGGTTCGGGTTTATGGCACTTTAAAGTTATGCCGTTTGGGTTATGCAACACCCCCGCGACTTTTGAGCGCGTAATCGAATTAATATTTAGAGGACTGTCATGGAAAACTTGTTTGGTGTACCTAGATGACGTTATAGTTATTGGGCGCACGTTCGATGAACACTTTAAGAACTTGGGAGAAGTTTCTCAAAGGTTCATAGATGCGAACTAAGATATATGCAGTTCGAGATTGGCCCAAACCAATGGACAAGCACAAACTGCGAAGTTTCTTTAGATTATGCACATACTATCGTCGGCATGTGAAGGGTTTTTGCTGATATCGCAAAACCCCTTACGACATTTACGGAAGCAGGCAAAACCTGTAGTAAGTGGGATGATAACTGCCAGCAAAGTTTTGAGACACTTAAGAAGGTCTTAATTACTGCACCATGGCAAGCAATGTTGGACTTGGTGCAGTACTATCACAAATACAAGAGAGCCAAGAAAAAGTGATTGGATATTTCAGCAAAGTCTTGTCCAAACCAGAACGTAACTATGACCAAACTTTCCTACTAAGAAGTATTACGATGTTTGCTGCTATTCAAGAATCTGGAAAGCCAAGTTGCCCGGTTGATAGAGAGGTTGGCAGAATATGATTTCCAGACGGAGCATCGAGCTGGTCGAAGTGGGCTTTGTGCTCGACTGGAAGCCAAGCAGAGGGATATTTAGGTAGGGCGCACTGGAGCAATTGATGACGATTCCCGAGGCACTTCGGTAGGTAAGAACAGCGACCTGGATCTTCCACAGATATTGCAATGGAAAATGTCAGACAAAAGGCCCTCCTGGAAAGTGGGAAAGTTTAGCACCACTGTAAAAGCATATTGAGCCCAGTGGGACTCGTTGGTCTCTTAAAAAGAAGAACACTTGAAAACGAGGATAGAACGACTATTAATATGCAAATATTTACTCCCCAAAAAAGGATATCGGAGATCCTTCGTCATCGATGAATCAGACTATGGGAAAATATTTGTCAAATGTTATGTCGGATCATCAGCCAGACTGGGATCAGCATTTGCATTTGGTTTTAATGGCGAATAAATCTGCAGTACATAAAAGCACGGAACAAACTTCGGCCTCGGTACTCTATGGTACGGAAATCCGATTGCCTTGTGACTCGAATTTCGGCATAGACCCGGGAAGCGGAAGTGGTTGAGGATGAGTACGTGAAGAAACTCAAAATGGGAGCCATCCACGAAAAAGTTCGAGATTTAATTCATATGGCAAGCAGCAGAATGATGAAGGAACTATAGGACATCAAGGCACAATCAGGAGGATATCAGCCTGTCACCAAAACTACAAACCGATCGGGACGGTTCTTACAAAATCATTAAAAGAATCAATGATTTGATCTACCATGAATCGATATCACCAGTCAAAATGAAATGGAAGGAGACATGCAGCAAACCAACAGCCTTCTTTTGCAAACTTTATGGCACATTATTCCACTGGCAGAAAGGTTCGTAAGAGCATTGTGCGCGAAAAGACTTGTTCGAAGTTCTTGCTCAATATTCCTTAGGCCAGTGTATTGCAAAAGACGTCAAGATGTCTCAAGGAATTACTGTTGAGTTTAAGCTCCGTTTTGGTGGCCTACGGGAAATATATCCCCAGCTGGGATAGACGTGTTTTCTGCGACATCAAATGCAACTTCAAGGCATCAGAAAACTGGCGATTCCAAAAATCGGTTGGATTGCTGGAAATTATATCCCTCATAACAGGATTTTCTAAGGGGTAGGTATAATGATTGTGGTACATTGAGGCTCAGAGTAAGAAATAAAGATAGAGTACGCTTACGCTATAACAACGTGAACGTTTGTTTTGAACCAACATCTCACCGTTGAGAGGACGAAAATAAACATTAGTCAGTGGCGTAGGGTTTATTTATCTTTATGGGCAACAAAGTTTATGTTTTGTTTACATGTGCAAACGTAATAACGTATCACTACATATTTATGATCAAAAGCTGTATGTGTTTGAAAGGTCCCTATTGATCTATGATAAGGTATGGTGATACTTCAAAGTGGGAACTTAGAAGGAAATCTAAACACATTAAAATGCGAAAATTCCCGTATGCACGTCTATGTCATCAAAACAAATACCGATGAAAGGTTATGTTAGGTAATTCAATAATTCCACAAATAATACAGCTTTTCCCCATTTCAAAGCGCTCCCATAAATTAATACACCATAAATCGAATAAGTCTTGCACTATAAAAACGCCTAAAAATTAAGGAATCACGTTTTAACGAAATAAACAAAATACCTCTCAACGGAAAACAAAGTTACAGCGTTGCCGATGTGGTGCACTAATCACCATAACTTTTCTTGTTCGCCGTTTAATTGTAAGTTAAAATTGTTTGGGTTACTGAACTCTTATAAGCATCTAAAAATCCATTTAGATTACTCCAGATGCATATGTTATTATTATTCCCTTAAAAACTATCTCGTGAAATGTGACAACTTGGCCTCCTGCAATGTTAGTAAACAAACGAGATGATGGCACGCATAGATAAGCATCAAGGCATCTCTATCTTTATTTCTTACTCTGAGCATTGAGGTATCAAATCTTTCCTGTATTTTCGTGTTTTTTTTTCGAAATCGGTAGTTCCAAAAACGGCAAAGGCGCAATGGAAAGGAATTTTGTTGCAATGAGGGACATTAAACTCAGAACCAGTTACATTCGTGAATTTTGGTGCCCCCTTTTATTCACGACCATTTTCGTTGGAGCTGAAAACGCAAAGGAATAATGTGGAACAAAAGTTTGTAAAAGTTGCGTTCTTGAGGTATAAGGGAATATACCCGATCACGATAAGAGGTCGAGGAGGAGAGCTATGGTTGGTAGAACTAGTTCCACTCCCCCCCCCCCCCCCCCTCTGCCCCATACCTTGATGTAGAGGACAGAAAGAAGGTCAGTAGTTGGTAGAAAACGGTTCCTTTCGTTGAGACCTTTAATTAGAATACAATGAGATACAATTAATTTTTAACACCCCCCCCCCCGCTCAGGCCCCGTCGCTCACTGATCTCGAAAAAGAGTCGCACGGGAAAGTTATAGTTTGTACAAACCAATTTATTTCGATGAGACCTTTCATTAGAATACCATGAAGGGCAGAACATGTGTTTAACCCCCCCTCCCCCCATTTTCTAAAGTTTCACTTGGCACCACTAAAGTCATGCGTATGCAAAATCTGATACCAATTGGTTGTCGTATGTAAAAGTTATGCACGTTTTACTTTCAAAAACAGCATCTCAGGAAATAATTCGTGGGAGGGGGGCCCTCCTTTTAGACAGCGAAATTTGATGGCCGTCTGAAACACCTTCAAGGTATAGGCTACCTACAGCAAACAATTTCAGGACTCTAGGACCATTCCCCTAGGAGTTGTTCGAAACGGCAGAAGTGGGTCCGGACGTACTAACCGGACGGACGGACAAAACGCAAACAATAGCACATTTTTTTTAATTCTTAAAAAATGCCCTAAAAAATAGATAGCCCAAAGATGCGAAAACTACAACAACCGTCAGCGCTTTTACTCTCACGGGATACGCCCACTAAGAATAAGTGCGATGGATATATTTTTAGCGCATTTTTTAAGAATTAAAAAAAATGTGCTATTGTTTGCGTTTTGTCCGTCCGTCCGTCCGGACCCACTTCCGCCGTGTCGAACTACTTTGAAAGTAAAACGTGCATAACTTTTACATACGACAACCAATTGGTCTCAGATTTTGCATACGCATGCCTTTAGTGATGCCAACTGAAAACTTTAGAAAATGGAGTGGGGGGGGGGGGAGGAGCTGGGGTTAACACATGTTCTACCCTTCATGGTATTCTAATGAAAGGTCTCATCGAAATAAATTGGTTTGTACAAACTCTAACTTTCCCGTGCGACTCGTTTTCGAGATCAGGTGAGCGACGAGGCCTGAGGGGGGGGGGGGGGGGGGGGTTAAAAAATTAGTGTTATCTCTCACTGTATTCGAATTAAAGGTCTCAACGAAAGTGGAACCGTTTTCTACCAACTACTGCCCTTCTTTAGGTCCTCTTATCAAAGTACGGGGTGGAGGGGGGAGGTGGAACTAATTTTCTCCTTCATGGTACTCTAATGAAAGGTCTCAACGAAAAGAATATTAATTTCTACCAATTATAGCCCTCCTCCTCGACCTCTTATCGTGATCGGGTGATCCCTTATACTTCAAGAACGGATTGTTGGAAGAGGGTACTCACAAAAAGCGATTGAGACGTCTGCAAGAAATATATCCATTGATGATGTCAAAACAAAAGCTATTTCGGTTAAAAAAATACGCTTTATCTGCACAAGAGTTGTGCACAATTTATACTTGTTTGTACTTAGCTGGAGAGCTAACAAAAACGCGACATACATAGATTCAGTCTAAATTTTAACTCTGAACATACAAATCTCCTATGTTCAATTCTTATTGAATTAAGATATTAATTATATTCTTAATAAAATGTATGCAAAAGAATGTATTTCAATAATTACAGGGTTTATTTGCTGCTAAATATTCCCCAGAAATAAATTTAAAAAAAATTTACATTGATGCTTGAATTGTTAATTACTACACAAGAAAAAGAAATTGCAGTGTTTTAATTGTAGAAATGACCTAATTACATCATTGTTCGTAATTTAGCTATGGAATTTGAAATTTGACACATGTCCGTATTGAATGCGACAATAAGTAGAATTCCAGTAACTGAAAGACACTATAAAACCACTTCAGGGACAGTTTTACAAACTTCTGCTAAACAATTCAGCCGAATGGGTATCTAAAGTACCTACTAAGTTTCTTTTGTAAGGTGGCTTGCGTAACTGTCTGGTATATCAATGCATTGACTTGTATATTTAAGAATTGTACATAGGAGATTTATATGTGCAGAGTTAAAATTTACTCAATGTATAGTTTTCGTACGAAAATCACGATCACGGGCATTTACTAAACGCAAAGCAAACCGAAACAAATAGAAAAAAATGCACAAAAGGACTAAAACCCTGCGAGGGCATATGCCTTCGGCCGTTTATGAATAATGACCATTGAAATGAATGAGTCTATTTCATCTACAATACCTGGTCCTTATAATACGTAAACGAGTTAAGATACACACAGGCCGTCGCAGGGTTTTTGTATAAAATTCCATCGTCTTTCATTTTGCGTGTGATCTTTACAGCGTTCAAGGATAATGTGCTAACAACGCAAAACGCGAATAAGCATGTATTGATTGCAGGCGCGAGCCCACGCAAATGAAGCACTGTCTAAAAGGATAAAATGTTCTCCAGGACCTTTTGGAAATATAGTGCTCTAGTATTTATGTTATGCATTTTTTCGTATGTATTACGGTTTGCTTCCGGCATTTAATTTAAGGAGTAAATTGAAATCTACGAAAAATCTAATTAAAATGGCTTTACTTCGAAACACATTTATAAGTTTTGTGAATCTAAAGCATCTCGGTAGGTCTGAATAAAGGTTGCGTTACACTTTGCAAATGTGAAGTCACGGCTTTCGCTTTCAAGAGGATACGTAATAAAAGGAATTCTTTTAAATTCTGGAGTAGTCATGTGACGTAGGTTGACTATCCAGCAAACAAACCACTATGTTATGAGTTATGACCTGGTTGCATTCTCTTGTTCCACAATAACGAACAAATGAAAAAAAATATACTTACGTTAAAAGGCCGGGGTTATCTGTAGGGTACCACGAGTACTGAGGGAGGTAGTTATGCGGTGGGTGAGGGTGTGGTGTTGGGTGAGGCGGAGGGTGAATTGGCTGTTGGGGTTTTATATCCCAGCTTGGGCTCGCAGCTGGCTGACCTGACATATCAGAGCCAGGGGTCGAACTCGGCGCTGGTGACGAGTGTTGGATGTAACCCGTCGCCGGAGAACCGCTCGACGATCCGCCCCCTGTAAACACAAAGGAATCGTTAATAAAGCTCACTCTATTTGAATTAGATAATGTAAAGCTACATTGCCATATTATGGGCCGGACACAAGTCTTGAAGAAAACAGTACAATAGCTATTATATACGTGTAAGAAAAAAGTGCGACAGCATGCAACCACGCCGGGTGCTTTTCTTATAATTATTATTTCGTACGAGAACGATTTGTGATTTGCTACATTCTAAGTAGTCGCATTTGTCCACTACGGCCAACAATGCTGGCGAGTTACAAAAGAGTTACCTATAGAAATTTCGCGTTTTCATTATACCGCTTTGGCTTCCTCCTTAGAATAAGATCTAGGAAATCAGCACAGTTTAACTTTAGCATAGTGATAATAACTAAAAATATTTGAATAATTGTTATGTAAACACACATACTTTACAATAATTATTGCATGCCTACCTCCAAATTGGAAGGGAATTAATTATGTTGGCCCACATCACGGTATACAAATATGAAGTAATAGGCAACATGTGATACAATGGCCACTATAAAGGCGTGAAGTTACAATAAGTGGCGAGGGATACCCATTTCGTGACATTCAACTTATAAAGGATCCTTTGAAAAATGTACCTCCAAGACAAATCATTATTTCACTCTTATAACAACAAAAACTGGAGCCACTTAAGAAACCACAATAAAACAACGGATTCCCTTTTCAAGGTTCTGTTGTGGTTTTTTGATCTGGCAATAATACTTTTTTACTGATAAAACCAATTCCAATTTACAAAAAAAATTAAATAAATCAAGATTGCAACATTTAAAGTATGGTAGGTAGATAATTAAATTAAAATGTTTAAATATAACTTATTCCTAATTTAGTTCATATACTATATATGTATACAGTGTCCCACAACCAATGCTCGCTATCCATGTCACAAAATGGAGACTAAATATTTTGCAAATTTGATAGTATGCTAATGGCAATTAAGAGGGATTCATCTAAACTATTTTCAAGTTGGTGACACTCCTTGATACACTGGAAGTTGATGCTAACTTGCTTATTTTAAATCGAACATCCTATAGATTATTCCATTTTTAGATTCTAAGTAAAGTTCTATATAGGTACAGTTCTCATGTGTTATGTCCTATACTTAATTGGTCGTTTTTTGACCTTTGGAAACCCCCTATTTTAAGTATATCTGTGTCTTATTAAGTACAAACAATAAGGGGAACGTGAAAGTTACAATATCAAAATTTTTAGATTTCAAAATATTGGATATACAGTGGTTTTCCCGGATTGGCATCACTATACGTGTCATTGATAAAAAATGTTTGAATTTGGCTTTGATGCGTCGGCCTGCTTGGTCTAAAACGAAGCACATTTACGGGAAAAGAATAATTTTATGTTGAGGTAAAGTACCATTTCGGAAAATAATACGCGAAGCTGTTAAAAAAAGTTGGTAAATATGGGATCACTTTAATTAAATCAGTAGTGTAATAAATTTTCAGTACGTTTCAAAAAAAATTGTTTATATTAAATGTGATACTGATTTAATTAAAGTGATGCGATATTTGTGAAATTTTGCATATGGACATAATTCCATATTCTAAACAACTTTTCTTAATAAGAGCCCGAATTATTGACTGAAATGGCGTTTTACCTTAAAATGATTTTTTTCTCACTTGTCACGACCATCTTTGATTTCAAAAAGTGAGAATGTGTTTAAAATTCTTTTTAGACCAAGCACGCCGAGATCCCAAAACATCAAAGCGAGTTACAAAGATTTTTGATCAATTACACGTACAATGAAGTCAATCCCGGGACACACTGTATAACAATGCTATTAAGTGCGGTGTCTTAAGTAAGAAAAAGTGCTTCTCTTTAGGTTGTTTTTTTCACCACCATGACGACGAATCTTAGCAACAAAAAAAAACAGAGGGAGATAGGACCGGAAGACTTGGAGGAAGATAACGGAGAAGTCAAGACAAGCAACAAGTAAGACGGGGAGAAAAAGAAAAGAACGTGGTGTAACTCACCACACTAAAGGAGTTTTCCTAGCTCAAATGAGCGGCTACAATCCCAAATGGAATGGATAGCCAACTATGTATGATTATACAGGGTGTTCAGCGAGGAATGGAACAGCGTGATATCTCGGGAACGAATGCAGATTCTAACATTCTTAAAACTTTACAAATATAAGCTAGGGCCTGATATTTTGTGACGAAAAATTTTTCAAATTAAATACGTCACCGCCAGGTGGCGCTACCTAACTTAATTCTATTAAATAGATTACCCTACTTTTTATTAGATTTTTCTGCTGCGCCGTTATGAGCAACCCTGAATAATTAAAATTATGCCTATAGTCCAGTCAAATTACGGTTTGGGCTGGATGTTGTCACTTCACTCAACGACACCAAGCGCATCCTATGTAAAGAAATTCGCTGAATCCGAAAATCATAGTCCCCCTGGCCGGAAACGCTCGGAACATATTGTTATAACAAAAAACGAAGAAAAAATGGGAAAATGTCGTATTTTTTCACATTTGACTTCGAATATCTCGTTAACTATTGCTCGGAGGGAAAAAATGTATCTGTATCTTATAGAAAATTTTATTCTAAACAAGTTCATTTTTTCCCTCAGAGCAATAGTTAACGAGATATTCGCAGTCAAATGTGAAAAAACACGACATTTTCCCATTTTTTCTTCGTTTTTTGTTTATAACAATATGTTCCGGGCGTTTCCGGCCGGAGGGACTATGATTTTCCGACTCAGCGGATTTTTTTACATAGAATACGCTTGGTTTCGTTCAGTGAAATGATAACATCCAGTTTATACTACTTTTAGAGCTAATTGGACTGGACTACTGGTAGACATTGAACAACCCCCAAATTTTTGTAAAACATATGTTGATATCTTGTATATTTTCGCCGATAATCGACCGTTTCCATACTTATCAGCGACCCTGTACGTCCTAGCCCAAGTAAAAGCACAAAAGGCGTTCTTCTCACAGACACACCATATTATCACAACTCTTTCGTATTCAACCTAAGCCCAAAGCGAACCAACTCTTCCACAATAAACAATAAAATAATAATTACTTAAATTGGTAAGGTTGTAAGTAACGTTTATACAGGGTGTTTGTTAAACATGCGGCAAAAATTAAATTAATAGCTGTGTCTATTCTAAACATATTTTATCCCAAGATATAGGACAAAACATTTTTCAACAAATATAAAAATTTATCACTATAAATTACATGTATCATTTTTTAATTAACAAGAATTGTTCAAAATGGCTACCTTCAGCTCGGATGCAACCATCTCCTCCTAATCGACTCCCAGACTCTTTCAAAACAAGAACAAAACAAGGTAAGTAAATAAGGTAACACAGCTGATACTTTTTCGTGCTGTATCTTCGCAACAAAGCGCTTTTTCAAAAATCATCAAAGGATAAATATATCCTTAGAATCGTCCAAGAAGTAACTTTAATTTTTGCTGCATGTTTAAGAAACACCCTGTACAGATCAATTTTAAATGAATAGAACTACTTATAGACCAAACTTGATAAGACTTGACAGACAGACGGATACTAATTGTTACTTGATTTTAATCCGTGCGATTAGTTAACCAGCCTAACCTGAGTTTTAAAGAGAGACATTCAGTTCAATTCTGTAACTTAAAATAACCTTAGCAACTTGCTAATAGTGAAGGTAATTGCTAGATAAGCAATATTTGTTAAAAGTGGTATTCTGTACCGACAAACCTAGCAATGTTACCTAACATTTTAACAATTCAATTGCTTGACCCTAGCAATAGGTAAAGTGCTGTTGTTAAGTCTTAGCAAGTTCAAATATGGCAGGGGGATGGGTTAAATACAAATTTTTAAACGCTGTTGAAGATTCAATTCTTCCCATAATTCATATAGTTTTTAATATCGTTTGTTTGGAGCAGTTCTTTCATGAACTAACATGGCATTTTTAGCGCATTTTCTAAAGAAGTTGGGTGCGCTATTGCAGCCACTTTCTCTGTCCGTCTGTTCGAGGCCTTAACTACTCCTACAGTTCAAGATATTTAGTTCGTTCTTTTTGCATTGGGTAGCGTATAACTCTGGCATCTGAGGGAAGCAAAATCTTGACGATTAAACGGCGCAATGTCAACTTCCCTTTTTATAGAGAAATTTTTTTGAAATTTTAAACATAGCTGTCTCTAATAAAGATAAGCATATCGCATATTGTAAACATCAGACGTGCGCATGCGCAAACTGCGCAACTGCCAAATTTCTTATTTCTTATTTATAGAGAAATTTTAATAACAGATCCTTCTAGGAAAGATAATCGCATTGGGCATTGGAAAATGCGCTAGTTAATCGCCTTAGGGCGAAAACTTTTTTACTTGTTTTGTCCACAATTATGGAATGTTGCTCCTATGTTGTTCTAGCGCCACGCTGTTTGATATCTGTATTTTCCATGGCGAGCAAATACAAATTACAAGTCGCACGTCACTTTTAAAGCACAACGCGCCTAATCGGTTAAACTTAAATCAAAAATAACCTAACCTTACAATTAAAAAGTTTAGACAGTTGTGAATTTAGGTGGTAAGAGTTCAGTAGGCCTAATGCGTCTAATTTTAGGCCCAGTGACAACACTCTGTCACTAAGTTCTGACTAGTTCGTAGCAATTTGACGAAGTGTAGGAATATTAGCAATATTGCTCAAGTTGGTAGTTAGAGAATGACAAATTTGTTATTATTGTTCATAATATTGCTAGAATTTTGTGTGAGCAATCTTGCTATAGTTAGCAATATTGCAAACTTGTTAGTTACAGAATTGGACTGATTGACTATAATAATACTAAATAATAACAAAAACCGACAACAGCAATGTGCATTGCATTACAAATTTCAGCTGAATTCAATGATGGCACAACAAAGACATTTAAATTCAATTATAATTACCAAAATTGTGCCATCATTAACCAAAGCCTACTCCGATTAAATATACATACAGAACGAACCTGGCATCATATTTTGTCCCTGAGGTCCAGGACTAGCGGAAGGAATATTAGCACCACTTCCTAATATACTAGAATGCGTTGCTCCTGGGTTACCATTGTTATTCGTACCGCCGGTAACCTGAGCAGCCTTCATCATTTTTTTATATTTACTTCTTCTATTCTGAAACCATATTTTAACCTGTAACAAAAAAAGAGTATGTAGGTAGGTTGTCAATTTCGATATGTGCTATTAACATTCATACAATTGCACCGGGAAGAAATTTTAATGATGATATAAAATTATTAACACACTATTGGTGTGTGATGGCTGATGGTGTTTTTAAGTGGACCATTAGAAGTATCTCGGGAACGGTTTTAAATTTTGATTCGGGACTCATTACCTTTTTTTGAATAATCGATCAAAAGGAATCATTTAAAAATATTTTCAAGATGGCCGCTTTTTCGGGTGTATCAGAACGGTACCGGAACGTTCTTATTTCAAATTTCTGATGGTATTTTTTAATTCTTCATGAAAAATCAGTATGATTTTGTTAATGTGATGCTATGTCTAACTGACATGGTTTCGAAGTTGTTTGACATTAATGGAAATTAATTAAACGATGCCATATTAGGTTTTGTATTTAGAATTAAATAAAAATACCGGGTTATCGATCGATTCCTAACTTAAATCCTAGTTGTCGTCACTGTCCACAACATCAATTACCTATACTAGTAAACTAACTTTAGAAAAAGTTTCAACTTACACTGCGACAAAAACTTTGGGTAAATATCTACGTATACTACCCCCAGCTATATATCTACAGTTATTTTTTCCACTGACGCTTAAACAATTACCTAAACTTTCGTGATTACACGTCTATAATTTTGGAAGGAATGTGAAAGTTTACCTACTTCTATACTATGTATGAACTTGTACATTATGAGATTAAAATTGTATTGGTGAACAAACATATGTGTATTCTAGCACACAAACTAAGTATAATTGGGCCATTTTGGGGAATTAACTCAAGTAGTTTAACACTGCTCTTGGATACCGTCATCCCCCAGGTAGTTTGGGGGTAATAGCTCTGCACTTTTACCCCACTTTTATTTCATTGTTTGTTACAACTGGAAACACTTTCTTGTATTATTTATTGTTGTTAATAATAAATTTAAAAGTTTTCAAATATATATGAGAGAACCCACAATCAAATCAATCATACTAACTGTAAATTTTACGTTAAATTTGTATGGTAACATTCATGCATATCTTTTCTCAAGGCTTTGCAATGTCAAGCAGCAATATGTGAGTGCAGTAGAAAGATATTAATTAATCCCGTTACTAAATTTAAGGGCATTTTAGGGATTATAATCAGACTGCAGTCCTTACTTCAATGTATCTGGCATGATAAAAGGGTTTTTTATGAATCTTTTTTAGCTCCATTTTTTAAAAAAATATAATGCGCTATTACAAGCACTTTTCCGTCCGTCCGTCTGTGTAAGGGACGAGATCTCGTCACTGGAAAGTCGTACGAAGCTTTTTTATGTCTCGTTTGTAAGTCCGATAATGCAATATGCTGTTTATGACTGTGTCTGGGCATTTTCAATTTTAATTTCAGTCATGATCCGGATTTGAGTTTAATCGAGTATTTTGCTGTACTGGGCAAGGTCTGTGGCAAGATTACAGAATTGTATTTTTTTATACACTATACAGCGTTATTAGTTATTGCAGTAGATTGAACTTTATTTACCATACAAAGAAATAAAATGGTTACTTATTTCTGGCAGTTTTGAATTGAACAGTCTCTAAATATTTTATGCACTCCATTAAGGGCGAAAGATGCAAGTTGCGCCACTGAATTTTGTGATGGGCGCCAATCTAACAATTCAAATTACTCAAGGACGAAGATTCGCAAGTAGATGCGCATGAGGGGTTTTCACCCTGGTTTTCACTCCAGCTAGAGAGAGAAGGTTGTGGAGTTTTTATTATGAAGGCGCCAGCATTAATGAAAATTTGATAAATGTATCCTTTATTTTCCTTTGTGATGAGCATAGGGTATGGGGAAATTTTTTACATTATTATCTCTAGATTTATTAGGTGTTTGCTATTGTAACTTTGATTTGACAGTGTCTTTTGTTTAAGATTGCGCAATGTATTTAAGTGAGATCAATTCAGTTAGGTACGTGTACTTCGGTTTTTAATTAGGTACGTTTATAGACATTACAAAAATGAAAATTGAAGTCAGAAAGTAAATGAATACATTTCTTGAAAGGTTTTTAGTAAGTCTTTTTCCTTCCTTGTAATCAGACCCTAGAGCTACTCTTGTTTGTATTTCGAATTTGAAATGTGTTTAACGTTTTAATTAAATTTCACTCTTCCCCATTTCTTGTGTTTTATTTATGTTGATTTAAACCCAACCCTAGAGCGACACCACTCACATCCTCGAGCAACACAACGTAGGTCCTATCACTAGACAGGTTTGTTACTTGTGCCATGCGGTTCCAGTTAGTTTTGGCGTGCATTTTAAGTTTAGGTGTTTGGGTTGCGTAGTTCTTGCTTGGATACACCCTGCGTTATTACACATTTTAAAGAAAACTCAAAAGTTGCATCACAGGTCCTCAGAGTTATAAATGATCGATATGGGAACCCCTTTTGATACGACAGATATGAACCCGGTAATCAAGTTTTGCCATAAAAGTGTCTCGATCGATTGTTTCAATGGTCGATGTACCCCCATAAAAAAATCACAGGGGGTGATATCCGGAAGATCTTTGGAGGCCAGTTCGAGAGTGAACCATTACACTGACAAGGAGTTGAAGATAGAATGTAAAGGTAATTGATTTCACTTCTAGAGATGTGTTTCGTCCGCCGTTACGGTACAGAAAAGCCGTTTGTAACCGTTCCCATCCAGATATTTTAATCATCTTTGTTACATCCGAAAGCTCTTGTCATGTAAAAGACGAAGCAAATTACTATTTTAGAATTTGTCCCGTTAAGTAATTATTAGATGATTCTGGTTTCTTAAAACGAGCAATTTACGGCGGTATCAGTTTGATAAGAGACCTCTTTCAGACCTGAGAAATTCCAAGGGACAATGGAAGTATATTGGAAGTATGAATTTAGAAATTTCATCTCGCACAAAAGAGTATAATTAAGTAACTAATTTAATGAGGTGCAATGTATAGCATCAGATTAAATCCGACTCAAATAGTTATTTTTTGTTATTTGTGACATTTTCAATTAACTTAACAAATGAAATGTCACATTAGTTTTTTAAATGTTTATTCTTGACCAACAAAATTAAACGCGCAATTATTATTAGAAAATGTAAGACTAGGTGACTGCTGCAATGCAACGTATCGTGAGATCCTGTTATATAATTCTTCTTATCTGAAATGGTAGCATGCACAGGTAACATTTCGCAAGAAACATCACAATAATTATTGCTTTATATATTAATATCTTTTAAATCCGAAGTACACGAAAAAATAGCATGTTCTACACGTAAGAAAAGTGGTTTTCCAGCTCGTGAAAATTGCATTTACTCGCGCTAACGCTCTTGAATGCAACTATTTTCACTCACTGGAAAACTGTCACTTTTCTTTACCTACCTGTAGAACAATCTAATATTTCTCAATTTGATTTTGTGATCTACACTTACACCTTGGCATTGGAAATTATTGCTACAAGCACTCTTTCTGCACATACGCATAATAACTTGATGCGCAGAAACTGGATTTTTGGTTAAGTTGGTAGAGCAAAATCTCCATTTATTGATTAATTTCGTCGCTGAAACTGCTCTTGGTGCAAAATAAATAACTGATGTGCTCTTTCCGTATTTGATCAATTTTCTCCCAGACAGGCCGACCTTTTAAGGGTGTTGCCCGACCTTTTCAAACAAAAATATGCAACAATAAATTAAAAGAAAAGTTTCCCATTCGTTGCACATTGTGCATTGTGTCCACGTGTGCCGCCAATTTGTTAAAGTTGAAGTATTTATCATACTAATAGGTAGGGAAATTTTATAACTTTTGTTAAACCGCATTGACCTTGAAATGTCATAATTTTCGTCTGCGAAAAGTTGCCCGCTAGTACCATCCGTTTGCCCTACCTTCACTTTCGGTCTGGCTACGGTCCTGGTCCCAGGGCGCAGCAAAAAAGGCAGGATACCTACTAATTTACATATGAAAATTGCGCTATCGTCCTCCGATGTGCGTAGATTTCTTAACTTGTTTAATATACTATTAAACATTCACCTTCATCCTTTCGTGGCAACTTAATTTAATACAGTTGTACGTTATGTAATCCGGAGGCAACATGTACAACCAGGAAACACAAAAGTAAATTTTAGCAACAAATGCGTCATTCAACTAAATCTATTTTACAATACATCCTGACGTTTACGATTTAAAATAGAATATGCTAAACCTTGCCTTACTTATATTTGTGATTTACGATAAAGGTAAAATTTTTAATTGCCTTCATTACGCCTGAAATGTGGCCGAGTAAAATTTTATTTTGCAACATTATTTAGACGCGGTGGATGTAAAAATGTTAGGCATGTAACAGTTTTGGCGTGTCTACATTCTAAAAATTAGAAAAAAGGTGCACAGTTACTTCACACGCTTGTAATATACCTTGCTCGCGGCCCTCGGAGAAGTATTTTAAATTAATTTTCATGAACATCTAAATATAATCGTTGTAATAAATCGTTAAATCGCACTAAAGTAATACAATGTTAATGAAATACAACTACCGAACGACTTTTTCTCATTTTTTAATAACATCTCAAGAGACAGGCAGAGCTAATGAGACTTTCCTAAAGAACTCCAATGTGTATCTAATCAAAATTCAAGTTAACTTATTCATCAAACTTGTTGCAATAAAAGTTGAAGCCTACAGCAGAAACTCGTCAGTTACATGAAGTCTTCAAAGGAATGACGTTCATGTTACTCATTATAAATAATAATTAAAAAGCGAAAGAGATGAAACGAGAAGGAGAGATACAGTTATTACAAAATGCAACAATCTCTGTGATATCTAGGAGGCCTTGTAACATTTCCTTTACTTCAACCTTTGTATAGCCTCAGGGTCTCTTCGTACACTCACCAGCTAGGCTAGATTTTAAACGTCGGATACGCAACGAAGCCGACGCATTTTGTTTAAAAAGTTTCACTAAATCAATAAATTCCACAAGC